CCGCAAATCGACACCCGTTTCCTGTTTATTAAAGTGTTGGTTGAATTTAAGTTCAATATCTCTGAACCGTTTATCAGTATATGAGCCCAATTTGCGGACAAAATTCCAGCCCATATAGTTAGCTATCGCTCGGAGTTTCATATGATTTTTGATGCCTCTAATTATAAAATTTGTTGGCAGAAATTGATAATAAAAAGTATCCCTCACTATAACCAAATCATCGCTTTTCATACGAATTGTTTCATTCAATTCCTGTAATATTGTGTTTGTTATGTTCAGCCAATCGACAGAATCGAAACGATTTTTAGATAATAGGTTGAGCCTATAAAATGATATCCTATTGTACTGAGAATTTGGAAAGGCATCTTTAAAACCAGCATTCTGTAATCAATAGATGTTTACTAAATAGGTATAAAATAATAATTTGTGGTTGATAAATGGCTTCTATAAAAAAATACCCTTGCTAGTGCTTCTTCGTATAAAAATATGCTGTCCACATCCTTGCGAGTTTGGCTATCATTAGTAGCGCCCAATAGTAGTGCCGTTTGTAGTATAAACTCCTTATAAGCTCTCGCAGTATCGGGATTTGCATATTGCTTAGTCTTATGGTTAAATAATTATGGTCATTGTAATCAATCTTTTATTCTTCAGTAATAATTAATTGAATAAAATGATTAATTGTGTAATTTATATATACTCACATCATTAGGCTGTGGAATTGCCGGATAATTGAGGACAAATTGATCACTGTCAAACTATAAGGCAAATATTAAATAATGTAAATATTTCAGCTCAATATTGTATGTGTTGTTCAATGTATTGTTTAAGGTTACAAACTTACGTATAATCTATTGACAAGAGTATCGTTAGAGTCCGGTAATACTGATAATGAATATATGGATGAAACACCATATTTGACGAATTGCTTGACAAACACATCCTTCCAATGAAATTCTTTCTCATTATAGCCACCCGACTGTCCCAATATAGGCCACCCGCCCACTGATTTTAGTGCTTCTATAATAGGAGTCACTCCCCGGGCATTACGTGTTTCTATACAAATACAACTCAATTATAAATAAGT